CAATATCCGAAACTACAAATAATCCAATTTCTAATCATGATCAAACTTTGGAACAAATTTTGGATGAACATTGTCGAATGATGTTTTTGGATATTCTATTCGATATGAAAGAGTTTACGATGGATGAAATATTTGATAGGAATGATGGAGATATTAATTGTGAAATGGAAAGTGTTGTAGAATCATTCAAGGGATGTCCAAAAAATGGATGGAATTCAGTATTGGATCAATATTCGTATAAAGTTTATGCTAATTTGTGGATTAATTATCCTAAACTGAGAGAAATATTTGCGAAATCATTGATAGTGTTTGTTCCAGTAGAAGTGATTGTGAACTATGATCAATTTTTTAGATTAATTAATAAGGGAGAAATCTCAATGAATCAACTGAAATTTATTCGAATTCAAGGGGATAGAACTCGAGAATTAAAATTGGAAATAGGGAATGAATCTTTCTTACTGGTTGATGTTAAGAAATACACAACATTAGGCAATAGACAAGCCCGTTTAAGGAGATGGCAAGAACTTAATTCCAATGCCAAATTTGGAATCGTTATTCAAAGTCTCATTAGTTTCGATCATCCTTTTGAATTTTCTGAATATGAATTCTTTGATTCGATTGGAATTATCAAAGAATATTTAACCCATAAGGCATCAAAGGAATTGCGAATTGTTTTCATGTTTACAATGGCCGATTTACTATATGAAAAATCAACTTTCCAATCCAAGAATTTGAAAGAACCCACTAGAGATCGAATAGAATTGAAACATATTGGAAATATGAATAAGGAACGAGATTTGATTAATTCAGTTCTTGACTTTTATCAAAACGTGTTTGAGACTTTCAGAGAGAATGAAAAATTCGAGTATCATATTATTAATAATCTGTCCACTGATGAATCATATCAAGCACTGATAGAATCGAATAAGGAAAACGATGATCCAACCAAGCAGGTCATTATTTCTAGATCATTGATAAGGCGTTCGCTGGGAGTTTTATACAAAATGATTGGTCAATCACAATTATCAGATGTAAGCATTCGTATCACCGATTAGAAAAGAAATAATATTGAAAAGAAACTTTGACTAGTTTCGAATAAGCTGTTGTTTAAATTCAGAGATTAGAGATTCACCAAGTTCTAGGCTACTCAAATGTATAGGCGAAAATAGTGATGATTTAATTATCAATATATATATCCATATATCAATTATTATAATTTAATTCTTGATCTTTTGGAACCAGAGGAAGTTGAAATTGATATTGGTGATGATATGGATGATGATCCAATCCAACCAGTTACTCATCAATCAAGTGGAGGATATGATCCAGAATTTGAAGAAATGAAGAAGAAATTCAAAAAACCAACTGGTGCCTCAGAAGGTTGTGTTAATTGCATTATGAAGGAATATATGAAGACTAAAGCTAACACTGAAAAGTTTGGTATTGGTGCTAATCCTGACAATGTAAGCTATGAGCTTTTACAATTCAACTCTTCCTGGGCCTTCAAAGAAGACAATTTCGAGAGTCATTTTGATTTAGAGTTATATGTTTTTGTTGGATAGGTTGAAATAATATTGTAAAGTGATGATAATTTTGACATGGTGAATGGCTACGGCCATATCACGATGAATGCACCTCATCCCGTCCGATTTGAGAAGTTAAGCATCGTAGAGCCACATCAGTACTGAGGTTGGAGACAACTTGGGAACCTGTGGTGCTGTAGTCTTTTTAACTTTTCCTTAATGTTGATTTCAAAAAAAGCAATACAAAGCCGAAATTGGTCCCACTAAGGAAATGAAAGGAAATGAGGGTATTATTCCAAAATAAATAATATATAAAACATAGTTCCCTGACGATGATTATTAATATGATTGGTTGCTGTTATTCGAATGCCAAGCGGCTAATGATGTCACAGGTAAAAAATCTTCCAATCCAATCTTTTTCAAAGATGATGTTTCAATGTAAGTAATGTAACCAGTACGTCTTGCAATATCTTCTCCTTCCTCAAAGGTAATTGGCTTTCGAAGATTTGAGTGTTGGAATACAGAATACCTTTCGTCAATTTTACACTCACATCCCTTTTGCTTTCGTGCGTATATCAGGAATGAATTTTTCAATTGACAATGTCAAAGACTTCAATGACCAGACAGAGAAACAAACACAACATAAATTGGCAATTGGATAAAATACAGTTTTTGTTCCATAACCTGTACGACAAGCTAAATTCCACATTTTCATACTAACTGTATTCTCCTTCAATTGAACTCACAATTATCATAAATTTCTGGAAAATTTTCATATAATCCATCTGTTCACTTGTTAATTTTAGAATTTCATGAATTCAATAAATTTTGCTATAATTAATATTTCCACTTTTGGCAACCCATTTCATTTAATTCATTAACTTTCACTTGGTAGTTTCGATTTGTTTCATCCTCAAATAATCTTCCATCAAAAGAGATCGTGAGAATGGATAATAATTATTAGAAATCAATAAAAGGTTTCCGATAGTATGTAAATCTAGAAATTTAATTCAGTGATCGATCTTTCTAATAACATTTTTTTGAGCTAATATTTCAAACTATTTCAAACTAAATATACATTGCCGAAACTGAGCTTGGCAATACATGTACAGGGCTGTTAATGCGACTTGTTATGTTGAAATAAATCTTGTATGCAACGAAAAGGACTTTCCAAACTTAAACAAGCAATTATTATAATATCCTTATCATTTCTTATTAATGGATCTTCAACAAATTCAAGTAAACTTCCTCGTCTGTAAACAGCTTCCTTTACAACATCATAATCATTCCTAAGCACATAGGACGCAAATTTGATTGATTCTGGATTGCTTTTGACAGAAGCCAGCATGATTTCCTTATTATTTCTTAATGAAATAGGGACATGCTCAATTGCATTTCCACTGGGGAATGTAACAGCATCTAAAACAATATCAAAATCATCCTGTAGTTCCTTAGGTACAAACTTTAAAGCATCACCATTCCATCTTACTGCAATTTTAGCAATTTCCTTTTTGTTTTTCAATCGGTCAGAGGCAAATTGTAAAGCTAGTCCATTTTTCTCCACTGCAATTCGAACTATTTCTTCATCATCCTTAAATTCCTCACTTGTATTTTTAAGGGAAAGTGGCGAATAACCAACACATTCCTTTACAATAGCCCGTAAATATTCCTGTTTGAGTTTACAATTCTCTTCAAAATCCTGTGTTAAAAATATCCTTTCATTCCACATTTGAAATTCATGGGCTATTTCCAACATCTCCTTGTGTGTGAAGGGTTTCGTTTCATGCGACATTAACCTCTTTACAATGTTTTTCACATCACTATTGCTCTCCTCTTCTCTATAATCGTAGTAAAACTTGAAATCATGGTACGTTTCATAATTGTGAAATCTGAAAAAATCACCATAAATATTAATGGCAACAGAGTGTAATTCCTTTTTAAGTCTGAGAGAAGCAAAATCATAAGCAATTACTTCATCACAAGCAAAATCATCGATAGCATCGTTATTGAACAAATAAAAAGCATCTGAATACATGGCTGCTATCACAACATCCACATCATCTCGCAATTCTTTTGAAGCAAATTCAAGAGCTAGCCCACAAGTAGAGACAGCTGCCAAAGCTGCTTTCTTATTGTTTCCACATTCTTTTTGATACCAATCAAGAGAACAAGGATTAAGTGCACATGCCACTTGACTAAACTCCTCATAAATATATAAATTCAACGTCCCTCCAATGTCAATACTATCTTCACTGCTAAATTTAAATAATTCTTCCGTAATATATTGTCCATCTCTTTTCCAATTCAATTTTAATTGTTCAAAAGCAAATTCCCTTTCATCATTGTCTTGATTACATTTTTCAAAGGCCTTTAGGATAGGGTGAATAATCAATTCGTATTTCACATTTTTTGGAACATCACGAATTTGTTGCATTAAAATTGGAGATTTAAAACTTTGATCGAGAAGTATTCGTACATGGGAAGAGTTGGAATTGATATTGTCGTAGGTTGCCTTCTTTTTGAGAGGAGGTGAGGAAACGGAATTCTCTAGGCAACTTCTTTTCATTTTTTCCACTTTCGAATTTTAATTTTCATGCTATGAAATAGATAGAATTTCGTCCATTGATCAATGGTATAGAGGCGATTGGAATAGTTTGAGACATTTTGGAGTTGAAACAAGAGATGATGAAATATTCTTCCTTTACGACATTTTTGGAAAAAAATAGAGTCAAAGTTGAGGGATCCAAAAAAGGAAATACTAAATATTTTTAAAAAATAAAAACGGAATTATGGAGCATATCATCTACACGATCAACTGACTAAAAATCGACAAAAAATAACATATATTGAACTAGAAAATATAAAATTATTAATCATTACCCCCCATTTAAATCATTAAAAAGACTACAGCACCACAGGTTCCCAAGTTGTCTCCAACCTCAGTACTGATGTGGCTCGACGATGCTTAACTTCTCAAATCGGACGGGATGAGGTGCATGAATCGTGATATGGCCGTAGCCATTAAATATCATAAATTAAGATTTATCAAAAGAATGTGCTCTGATTCGAATATGGAATAAACTCAGGTATGCAATTAGGATGAATACTACATTCACCAATTCTAAATATACAGATTCAAATTGATGAGTTTGTGGATTATGTTATACTAGTAATATTCTAATTTTGGAAAGTTTAATTTTAAAAAAAAAATGTCTCAATTAGAAATTGCTGCGCAAGCAGTTGATTGTTATGTTGACGAAATTAAAGGATGGTGCAAGTGCAAGGTTTATATTTATGAGCCATCAAATGAGAAAGTTTGGAAAGATGCAGAATTGAGTGGTTTGTGCACGTAAGTTTTATTGGAAATGTTTCGAAATGAGAATTTATTGGTTGGTAGAATTCATTTACAGTTACTGTCGAATACGATTTCGTTGAATGTTACAAATTTAATAACGAAACAAGTTTCATTCAAAG